TAGCACTGGGTGGTTGCTATTGCATTTTCCCACATGGGTGTTAAAAACTCTTCTCTAATGCCTGATTTTAACACAGGTGTAAAAGAGGCCTTACTTAAAAATTGTTACTCAAAATTCACTAGATTTTGCCATTTAATAGCATTCTCGGCACATTTAGGAAAATAAAATCACAGTTTAACCCTTTTGCTGCCAGGCCCTGTGCTCTACTTTTAATGTCAGCTGGCCAAACCATTTTTTTTCTTCCCATTCAGAGTTTTTTTTTATTTTTTACTTTCATACATTTTCTATAAGCATGGGATCTGTAGAATACAAAGATGGCGCTACTGATTTTGTAGGTCTTGTGATAATTGCGCAAATGTTTATCAAAACAATATTGTATTAACAATGCACTAAAATCATTATTAGCAAAAACAAATACAATATAGCTACCAACATTCCTACTAAATCTAAAAGCCTAAACTGCATTGAGTTAATAAGTAGCAATTATTTGTAAATGTGAAAGCATGCCTTTTTGCTAAACTGTGAGAATTGAAGGTATTCAAAACTGTAAGGATTCATGGCACAAACATTGTTTTTGAGCTTTGTGTGTTTGTGTGTAAAAATCCTTGCATATTTCCCTGCTCCTGGAGCTGCAGGTGGTGCATACACCGGGTCATAGAATAAAATAGCTGCACACGTCCGTGGTTGGGTAAACAATGATGCTTTGGTGTATCTGCATGAATAGGCACCTGCTTATGACCTATTTCCTGAATATGGAAGTTCTGCCGCGCATACAGTTGAATTAATGTCATTTTAATAAAGTTCAGGAAAAAAAAAAAATCCAGCACTGGATTATAATAACACACTGCAGCACATGTGCACAATGCACAACAGTGCACCATAATGCACGCCAACATTGGCCTTCAGTGTGTTGGTGTACCAACACACATAACAGCATTACAACAATGTGTATTGTGTGTGTAATTTGTTTGTGTGTGGGGTTTAGGCTTCATTAACACAGCTACAAAGGGTCATACAGTGTCAAGAAGCAGCATATGTCTGCTGTATGCATGTAACCGCAGATCCAATCGGTGCCATGCATACAGGGATGTATGAGTGGCCATGGACACATGGACTGCATCCAGGGCCACTCAGCCACTGATCACCGCTATTTGTTTATTCAGCAGAGTCAATGGATCCAATTCTGTTTATAAGTTCATGGTTGCTGAAGAAACCATGAGCTTTTAGCAGAAGGGAATTCCAAGGACGTTAAGGCCTACTGAGCTGGCCAGCGGGAAACATTTCTGTTCCGACATAAGCAGCAAAACGGTTAAAGATTAGCTGTGTTTTTAAAACAGCACAGCCCATGTCTAAAGGTGCCCATACACTGCTCGATTCTCGTACGAGAATCGCGGGAAATCCCACGATCGTACGAGAATCGAGCAGTGTGAACGAAGACGTGCGACCGTTTCTACTGTATGGTCGCACGTCTTTTGTCTAAGCAGCACGCTAGAAAACCAGCCGAAAATCGTAAGATTTTCGGCTGGTGTGAACGGTGCTCGGGAGACAAATGCCGAACGGGCCGGTGTGCGCACTCGCACACTGCCCGTTCAGCATTGCGGTCATCGGAAGGCCGCCCCTCAGGGGGGCGGGCTTGCGATGATCGAGAGTACGATCTGCCTGTCCACGATGGGCAGATCGTACCTTTTTTTAAATCACTTTACAACCATCGCAAGACTAAGGTCTTGCGATGGTTGTACAGTGTATGGCCACCTTTAGACATGCCATGAGCTGCATATCAAGCAATCAATTGACCCTTGGTAACCTCCAATGAGTGCACTGCTGGGATTGTGCACATTGTTTAGAGTATTGATAGTGAATAGTTGGTGGTATGTTAACATTTTAAGGCATAAATAATTATCAGTGTGGTAACCAATTTGTGTTCATCCACTAATAAAAGTGTTTCAGAACAGGTGGGATCTTATGTAGCTGGATTAGTGCAGTCATATTGTGAGCATCACATGACCCTAGACAGCTTGTCCTCAAGTTCTACTAATTATTCATGGTCTGTGGATATCCACACGGCTAACAAAATCACATTGCTGAGACACTAAATACTCCATCTGTGCATATGTGCAATGACCCTTATAATATGCAGTGTTGCTGGGATGCGAGGACAGGCTTATAAACACTACTGTAAAGTGACCTCATTAGACACAAGGAACAAAGCGTGTATAATCGCAGTGTCTTATGTCATTGCAAACAAACATCATCCTCTCAAGTCAGCTAAATGCAGAGGAAGTATTCTCTTTTTGTGAGCAAATAAGGAAACTAGAAACAGGCAAAGCAATACTATGAAAATGACTCGGCATCTGATCAGAAGGGAAAATCCTATGCTATGTAGTTTTTTTTTATTATGCAATCAACAATTTCCTTCGAAATTAATGTTTCGGGGTCTAAATTAATGTAGATAATGTGAACTTGCCATGAGAGAAACATGCAGACTATCATTGCTGACTTCTAATTTTAATGCTGGTTGTCTGTCTGCAATGCTCTTGCATCACCACTTTGCTTCATTGAGCCGGAGTAAGTGTGCCGATTTGAGTGGTCCTTTCTCTTTCCTGATCTGTATACGTGTTTTGAGTCTGTGATTCAGAACACCCAAATCAGCTTTACAGCCAAGCCTGTGAAACATACTCGAGTCTACAGTCCGTGTACCCATCGCACTCCGAACCACTGCTCCATGAGATAAGAAGGTGCAGCAGGTGTCAATGGGTGGCTTCCATCAAAATATAAGTAAAGAATGGACACCGGCACTCAAAAGCAAATTCAGTAAGTCTATATATTCACGTACTTGTTGCAAATGCAAAACACCAGATACAATGTTTCGGGGTTTCACAGGATACCCTTCATCAGGCAAACAAGTGTTTGCCTGATGAAAGGGATCCTGTGAGACCCCGAAACGTTGTATCTGGTGTTTTGCATCCCCTTCATCAGGCAAACAGGTGTTTGCCTGATTAAAGGGATCCTGTGAGACACCGAAACGTATCTGGTGTTTTGCATTTGCAACAAGTACATGAATAAATAGACATACTGGATTTGCTTTGGAGTGCCGGTGTCCATCCTTTACACATACTTAGGTCTGACACAGCCAGGCATCTAGCATTTTAAGAAGGGGGCATGCAAAACTAGTCCCTATACATCACTCATTACAGAGTTACTTTTGTGTTGTGGTAATATGCAATAACATTTACACTTTACCATTCATTACCACATTGCACATTATCACCAAGGTATATGTGCATTGCAATGCCAATGACTTCTACTGAATCCCCAATGCACATGTAAGGTACTTAGCAAGAAGCCTGTATGAGTTCATCACGGCCCTGCCCTTAGGATTGCATGCAAACATGTCTTAACCGGTAGTCACACACATGCTGGTGGTCACACATGTGAAAATGCGAGTAGACGCCCGAGTGGAAATAGGTGCAAAGGTACACGCAAACGCGCTCGTATTTGTAAGCACAGTGTGCATATTCTAGCATGCGCTTGCACATTCTGCTCATTGGCGCCAGACAGCCTTTAAAACCCAGTGTGAACATTGACCTAATGGCTGACTGGTACTGTCACGTACCTGGATGGAGACCAAGCTGAGCAGGGGCTACCACAAGTCAAAATTCCCTGGAGATGGTAGCAGGGGGTTGGGAGGACTTGGGGAAGCACGGGTGCTGATAAAGTTATTTGGCGGTGCCGTGTGCTGAAGCTCGAGTGCGAGGACTAGGGTGATATGGCCACAGGAACTGGGCAAGCCACCGAAAAGACTGGAGACTAGACCCAGTATGGCAGGAGCACAAGATGCCAAGGACTGCGGAGTCCGGGATGAGCAGAGCAGATAGTGGAGGTTGTGGGCAAAGGCTTAGGTCATACACAGAAGAATCAGATGCACAGACGAGATGCAAAATTGATAGTCAGAAGCATGGTCGAGATTACAAGCCAAGCTCATACACGGGATAATCGGATGAACAGGTGAAATGCCAAATCAGAAGTCTAGAAGCAAAGTCAATAACATGAGCCAGAGTCATACACAGCTTAACTGGAAACACAGGAACAGATAGCATGGGGACGGGAAAGAGCTGAAGTCCAGTCAGCAAATAACTCAATGTTCACACTGGATTTTAAAGGCCGCCATTGAGCAGAATGTGCACGTGCATGCTGGAACATGCACACCACGAGCATGTTTGCACGTACTTTTGCATGCATACATATCCAGGCACACATCTGCATGTGTGACCACCAGCATGTGTGTTACTGGTTATGGCATTTTTGCACACAATCCTAAGGGCAGGACCATGATGAACTCGTACAGGCTTCCTTACAGCACATATACGGTTAAGTGTCTATTTATAAACAATTTGCAAAGCCATTCATCCGGCAAGTCTCTGTGAAAAATATAAAAACGAACGTTCTTAGTATATTTTCTCTTCAGGTCGAATGTAATACAGCATAATTACAACTAGGCAGTGCTGAGGAGCATAGGAAAGAAATATATTTGTCTATGCTCCTCATCTCTTTCTAGTGACCATAATGCAGTATTGCATTATATTTGGCCTGAAAAGAAAATATAGTAAGAATGTTGGAAACATACAAGTAAGAGTGTGTGTTATTGCACCACATAGTGTAAATGGGCCCTGAAGCAGCAAAGAATATTTACAGGCCTACTTCATACATTTGAAGAAAATTTAATGGGAGACGTGTTGCCTATTATGCCTTGTCAGATTTATTTAGTGGACAGGTTTGTAAAATTAATGAAGGTACATGCAAGGTAGACAACGTTCAACACCTCTGCTTTCCATTTCCTGTATTATATACTCCATGTATTTCTATATATAGTATATACATTGGAGTTCTAGAAGTTTATTGTATTTTTTGTTATGATTCTTTTAACATTGTGTACTTTCTTTAGTTTATAAGACTGTGTAATAACTGCCTGTGTTCCTTCTTTACATTGGTCTTTCCTAAAGAGAACATAGCTTTGTTAGCAGAGACTGCCCTAAGGTTTTTGGAGCTGGTCCAGCTGAAGAACTTGAACATGGAGAATGATCCCAGCAGTGAGGAGTTGGATGAGACGTCACACCCCAATGAGAGCTATGACACAGGTAGGTCTGTATTATAGCTTTGTCTGTCTCACATACAACAGAGTTTACAGCAGGGATGATCCATGGTTTGTATTATTATTTGTGATATGACAATAAAGTAGAAGGAATGCAGTGGGAAAAGTGTAAGAACATGTCATGTGCAGCTCATTAAATAAGTCTTTAAAGAGACCCTGTCAACTTGCCTATTCGGGGCAAAGTTTCTCTATAAAACCTATTCCTTGTACTGTACAGAGCCCATACTCGCCTTCATAGTGCTGCTTCTTCTGTCGCTGCCACCATAAAATGCTGATGATGATGTTTCACTCTCCACCATGTAAAAGTATTTGGGCCTAGCAAAAGGTCCAGCTTAAAACAATTCCAGCCCCAACGGGGGGTGGGGGGTGGGGGACCTGAGCCAATAATTGGGGACATAGGAGGTCACATACTCCCACAAAACCAAGGCAATGGTGCTGGTATTTTGCGGCAACTGCAACCGAGGGAATAGTGGCGGAGGGAGCACTGTAAAGGAAAGTATAAGTGGGTTAGGGGTTGGGCATTAAAGAGACAATATATAAAAGCTTTGCTTACATCAGCCTTTCTCAACCTGAGGTTCTTAGGGGGTGTCTTGAGCAGTGAGCAATGGCGAACTGATTTACTACCTGCACTGGCCTTCAATGCAATGGGGCACGTCTACATTGACCACTAGGGACACCACAGTTTTGACTGTCTGTGTTTCTTTCCTGTTATTAATATGCATCGAATTCCAAGATTATTACTGAAAACTATGTTGTATAAAATTGATCTCTCAAAAATGCGCAGTATGCTCTTCTGTATCTCCAAGTGTACCCCTGTTCTGCTCGGTATCTCCAAGTGTACCCATGTGCTTTTCAGTAGCTCCAAGTGTACCACCTGTTCTCCTATGTATCTAAGTGTACCCCTGTGCATCTCTGTCGGATGCAGACCGCATAGCTGCTCCTGTGCCGACACTCGGATCCTTTCGGCCGGCGTCTTCACTAAACCCTAGCCGAAAGGATTGATTTAGTAAGGTTATCACATTTTTATTTTAAAGTATGAAATTTGGCCCCATGGGAGAAATACATTTGTCGGATGGCCCCCGAGTGAATTGGGACACCTGCTCTAGAATCTATAGCCAGCTTTAGATTGTCGTTATCAAGCATATGGGGGAATTCTAGAGATGTTTTTGGAAGTTCCTATTTTTTTATTTATTTTTTAACTGGAACAAGGTACTTAAACACACGGATGGTGGCATTAGCACTCACTATCGTTTTTTGTTTACTCAGAATTGCAGGCTTTACATGAGATGGTCCAGCAGAAGGTGGTGACGTTGCTCAGTGACCCAGAGAACATAGTAAAACAGACACTAATGGAAAATGGAATAACCAGGCTTTGTGTGTTTTTTGGTCGACAGAAAGCCAATGATGTTCTTCTCTCTCATATGATCACTTTTCTGAATGATAAAAATGACTGGCACCTTAGGGGAGCATTTTTTGACAGCATTGTAGGTATGTACACGAATATACAAAAATTAACTAATCAGCTATATACACGTTTAATACAGACTACTACCCAAGTAGCTAACAAAAAATTAAAGTGACACTAAATTCAGAAGTTAAATCTTAAAAATGCATTCAAGCACCTTAACTATTAACAAAAATGTATCTTATTTGTGTATCACTCGGCTGTAGATCCTCAAATGATCTCTGAATTTGTGCTGACACTGTCCTTCCTTCTGGAGGGTGGCTACTTTTGTTCTCATGGTCCCTGTGTGTGTTGTAAAGTAACCACTGCTCCAAGCTCGCTCCTGTGATAGACTATAATTTTTATACAAATTGGTACACTAAAGGCGAGATTGTCGTCCATCATGGGAGCGGGCTTGGAATGATGGCTACTTTACAACACACACAGGGACCGTGAGGAACAAAAGTAGCCACATTCCAGAAGGAAGGACAGTGTCAGCACCAATTCAGAGATGATTTGAGGATCTACTACTGAGATATACACAAATAAGATTCATTTTTATTAATAGTTAATGTATTTGAGTGCATTTTTCAGATTAAACTCTTGAGTTTAGTGTCACTTCAAGTAAAAGTAAAGACTTGTGCATACGTTTCTAATGAATTGCAAGCTTGATCTCTTTGCTTTGGATTTCTATTGGTTTATAGAACTTTTTCTTTCTTTTATAGATTTTCTTCACATTTTCTGTGTTATTAATATTCCTTCCTAACTTTTATTTATGCGTCTTGTTTCCAACATTAACTAGTTTTGGACATTGGGCATGCTACACACACACCCCCCAAAAAATTATTTGAAGTACACAGGACACATGTAGTATGCCCTGTCCCCACTGCCGCTTCCTTCCCTGCATTTGCTGCCAATTTCTGGTTGTCAACATGACAGCCAGGTGATGCTATGTAAATAAAAAAGGTAAAAGAACTGACATTCTGATACTCGATGATACCGAGTACTGATACCGGTACTTCTGCTAGCATAGAGCCAGCTTCCCGGGCAATCAAGAAGCTTCTTGATTGCCTGGGAAGCCGGCCCCATGCTGTTTGGCTGGCTCGTTGCTGATTGGCAGAAGCCTTCCCAGCCAATCAGCATGGATCCGGCCAAACAGCATGGATCCGGTTTCCCGACCAATCAGGAAGCCGGGCAGCGAGTCATAATTGGCTGGGAAGCCCGCTCCATGTTCCTTCGTGGCACTGTCGGTCAGAGGAAAGCTCAGTGGTAAGTATGGGAGCATTTGGGCGAGTAATCACCCAAATACTCATACTCACCCAAATACTCATACTCACCCAAATACTCAGCATCAGCACCAATACTAGTATCAGTATCAGTGCATCGCTAATTTCCACCCAGTTCCTTCGATTTTTCAACCAGCTTTTGTGGAGCTGAGTGGTGCCAACAGGGCCACCCATGACTTGAATTTTGGGTGGAAGTGGGAATCGGTCAAAATCGGCTTTAGAGATTGGAAAATGCTGTAAACATGAAGGAAGATAGTTTGTCTGACAGAGAATGGGTAAAACATTATAGTTATACAGATGGGCTTTTGGTGATGTTCAACTATGAAAGATAATGTAAATAAGTCATATTTCTTAGACAAACGAACATTCAAATGTAATGCTCACTTCTTCAGACTGCTTTCCTAATGTCTATTAAAGGAGAACTATGAGATGAGTGCTTTTCACTCACCTCATAGTTCCAGCCGACCTGTGACAATGAGACTGTCACAGGTCGGCTCAGTAGATCGGGAAGTGAGCGAACACATACCGGCGTTCGCTCACTTCTCGATCCTGTCACGGCTCTCTGCCGTGACAGGGGAAGGGCTGGATTCCCCTCGCTCCGATCCTCCAGCGCTGACTGGCGGAACGGACGGGGGAGGGGGCGGGTGCAGCTGGCTCTGCCTCTAGGTAGGCAGAGCCAGCTGTCACTCCCGCAGCTGGGCGGATCCAAACATAATTGTCGGGATCCACTTCAGCCTCG